TTCTAAACTTTCTGTCTGTTTTTAAGTTCCAATTTCAGTTTTCCTAATTTTCGATTTCTCTTTGTTAGCTTGTTAAGTCAGTGTATCCAGAGGGGTAAAATATCTTTCATTTCCTTTGACAGCTCTTTCTAAAAATAATCTCAGTTCATCAAAGGTTTGGGTTTGACACATTTGTTTGCAATTAAGCCCACAATAACTGTATAATCTATATACGAGGAGTATTTTTTAAGTAAGGTCCGTTTTGTTGTAGACACTAGTAGTTCACGTGCATACCGCAATGAGCGCGTGCGTCATGTACCGGCATGCCTCGAGAACAACTGTGCTCAGTTTCTGCTCTGTCGCTAACCTGTACGGTTCTGTTCTGTGCTTTAAAAATGTTTAAGACTATCAACTCACCCGCCGCATGTGAGGTTCGCTCAGTGATACGGTTTTTGTCAGCAAGGAACCTGCCTGCTGCAGAAATTCATCGACAGATTTGTGAAGTGTACGGTGATACTGTTATGAGTGAAAGCAAAGTGCGTAAGTGGGTACGACAATTCAAAGATGGCCGTGACAACGTCCACAGTGAGGACCACTCCGGTTGCCCTTCTTTGATTACAGACGATTTGGTGGCTTTTGGTGGCGGCAAGTTTTTATGAAGAGGGTATTTTAAAATTGGTTCAGAGGTATGATAAGTGTTTGAACAAACTTGGCAACTATGTCAAAAAATAGAGTGAAGCATGTACTTTCTGAAAATAAATTTACTTTTTGAAATAAACTTTCGTTGTGTACTTATGTTCAAATGGACCTTACTTAAAAATACCCCTCATATATAAAAATGCTCTGTGCATGAGTACCTTAAAAACAAAAGAACCAATGAACGAAATCACACCAAATTTGGCAACAAAACATCTCACAACACAAGGAATGACCATCACTCAAAAAAAATATGATTTTGTCATTTGGGAGTTGTAGTTTCTGGGATTTATAGTTCACCTACAATCAAAGAGCATTCTGAACTCCAACAATGGAATTGAACTAAACTTGGCACACAGAACTCCCATGACCAACAGAAAATATTGGAAGGGTTTGGTGGGCATTGACCTTGAGTTTGGGAGTTGTAGTTCACCTACATCCAAAGAGCACTGTGGACTCAAACAATGATGGATCTGGACCAAACTTGGCGCAAGCATTCAATACGGCCAAATATGAACACAGATGGAGTTTGGGGGAAATAGACCTTGACATTTGGAAGTTGTAGTCACTGGGATTCACAGTTCACCTACAATCAAAGAGCATTCTGAACCCCACGAACGACAGAATCAGGACAAACTTCCCACAAAGAACCCCCATGACCAACAGAAAATACTTAAGGCCATCCAGTCTTACTCCCTTTACCAGGGCAAGAAAACATAATCAAAGTCCTCCTGACAAAGAGCCATCCAGCCACAGATACAGATAGATAGATAGATAGATAGATAGATAGATAGATAGATAGATAGATATGATTCACACACACAGAGATATAGTATCATAGATTTGAAAGGGACTCCTAAAGAAGGACAATGATATGTTGCATGTTCCAGCATAGGCAAACCAGACACTCTCCACATCAACACAAAGAAACAGCAAGAAATACTGTTTACCCACAAGTATAAAGAAATTACATATATTAGAAACCAACACTTTCTCATTACTTTATTTTCCAGATCAACAGACTGGGCCACAGCAACGTGGGTCAGGGGACAGCTAGTATAATATAAAAAAGGAACCATCCCCTTCTCTAAGTAAAGAAACAAAGGGGGAAGGCTTAGTTCATCCTGGGAGAACCTAAAAAAAGCACTGGTCTCCTCTTCTCTTGCTGCTGTGGTGCTGCTTTTGCCTTTTTTGAATGCTTGGGTGAGGAAATGATGGTTGTGGCCAGGCTTAATATACTTAAAATAGGCTTAATATTCAAAATAGCTGTATTACTCTTATGTTGTTTTACAGCACCAAATACTGAGCTGGACTCTCTAGAACAGGGTTTCTTAAACTTTGTCCACTCACAATCCTTTTTTACCCAATAATTTTATGTGACTCCAGATATACAAACCAAACATTTACTGTAATAAATCACAAATTTATTTTAAAACAATTTTGTTATACATATAATTTTACCATATATGTACTACACATGAAATAAATTTGTATACTAATGAGATAGATGTGCTTGTTTATTTTTCCATAAAGAATTAAGTCTTGACCAAATATTTGAAACTGCAGGATGAAGAGCATCATCAACATTTTTCACGCTATGCTGGCACGCTTGGTTTGCAGCCTGAAGAGGCAGAACATATTCTCTTGGCTCTTTTTCTTCTGAATTAGGGGACCAAAATGGAGATTTAGAAGCCATACCTCCAACTTAAATGGCACCAGGCTGAAGAGTGGGCCCTGTGCTTGAAATGGATCCATAGTCATCTCCCTCTTATTATAATCATGGTCTGTTCATATACATACATGCATGCAAATCCTATCCTATCCTTTCCACTTCCAAATAGGTGGTATTCACTTTTCTAGAACTTTTAATGGCAGATGACTCACATTTTTTTTTATTTCAGTTGAGTATAGATTATGAATCCAACTTAGTTTTTTAAAATCACAAGTCAAAGAGAAGCATTTCTGAAACTGAAATGGTAACCATCAAGCAAAATCAGCATTTTCAACTCTTGCTAAGCAAGGCATGCTCATTTTCCATTTTTATGAAGTACATCTGAACAATTTGCTGCAAGTTGTTGGTAACAGGCCCACATAAATATCTAAAACAGCCAATAGGTGGCAAGATACGCAAATTTTGCGCAATCACAACATTTAGTTTTGCTCTAGAAGGGCAGTGAATTATGGGGTGGTTATGAAGAAGTCCCAATTAATTCAACATGTATATGTTAGTGTTAAATTATCTTTAGGGATTGGTGCTTTACCCCTTCTGCAGAATGAACTTCAAATTATCCACAGGTCATATCAAAATCCATAATTTTGGTTGTAAACCAAAAATATATGTCAACCTCAACATATACATGCCTTAAATGGATAACGTGGGTTTTTTTTATGGTTAGAATGCAATGCTTCCACATTTCAGAATTGGATACTGGTAATGGATGAAACCCTACTTTGCTCAGTGTAGTGAATATTTGAGATGAAATCCACTGTGGCTCCCTACTCCCTACTGCCATGGTCATGGCTTCAGCCATGACTGGTTCTTTTATGTCTAATGGAGACCAGAGGGTAGGAATTAGAAAAAAAACTGACTAAGACCCATAGATAGACACGGACCTGACGACACCTTCCACCAAGATTTGCCAGGACACAGAAGATGATGTCATCAGATTGCATCTGGATATGGGGCATAGGCAGATGCAAATTGAGATGCCCTACTGTCACACTCCATCAGCTGTAGAATGGCTATTTAGGACTACCATGGCAATATCAAGAGTCTGGGTGTGGGTGTGGGTGCAGAAGAGACGCTTTGGTCACTGCAGAGGGAGAAAGAGAATATTAACTTCTGAAATAATAATTTTATATTTAGCTGTCTGCACATACACATTTTCAGGCATAAAATGGATTTACAATGGGATATGTCACTAAGAGGACCATAGTCCAGATTAAGATTTAGATCTCTGCTTGGAATACGCTATGGAAAATGGAATTTGAGCTGTGACAAAATCAAATTACGACTTGAACAAGATTTGCATTTCTTTATGACATCTTTTTCCTTTTAATTGCAGTAAAATGCTGAAACTTTATGTGAACCCAAATAAAATACTGCTTTTGTATCCCGCATAAAACCCTGAAAGATTAACTTTACATCAATTTATGCCTTATATGATCTAATACTCTGGAGCCATTGGCCAAGAACACTGGTAACAAAACATGTTTTAGAAAAGTTATGAATCATGTATTTAGAATTGTGTTATGTAAAATGTTTGAAAATAATATCTATCAATTCCCACACTTATTTGGGAATGTTGCTGTTTTCTCAGGTTGGGTAATACTGTCATTTTTCAGCATGACAAGAGGTTTATAAGATGCTGTTAACAGATGGTTATGCCAGAATTTCTGTGCTCCGAGAGATAGTTTGGATCTTCCAAAATAACAATAACCAAAGTGTGATCTGCATGTCATTTCATAGGTCACTTTTAAAATTCCCCTTTCTGTCAAATGTAGGTTTCTCTTGAGTTAATAGAAGTAATTTTCACATCTGTTATTGAACCACCACCACCACCACCCATCACCTCCACACAAATCTCCAAACCAACGAAAGGGGATGAAAACAATTGAACTGAGCGCTAGAATTTATTCCATATTCTAATGAATATGCTTGAACTTGGAGAGACTAGCCTTGATATTAAGTGTATTACTTCATTTCATGTGTACCTTTTAGAACTGAATACGTATTCTGGTGTAATGTGATGGTAGATGCATGACTGGGACCAATTAGCCAAAGAAGTGGAAGTTTAAGCTACATACCCAGCCATGATTAGAAGATTTCTCTGAGGTTGGAATATTCTCATTAGCATCAATAACAATTTTCTTATGAACAAATAGCTATGTCAGTGACAGGGTTTCATTCTGTGAGACCATAATGTAGGAGTTGAATTCGCTCTCCAACACACATGACCATTCTGATCCTCTGCCACATCCTACCTTTACTCCCCATGAAATCTACTGTCGTATTTAAAGCCATGCATATTAAAGGCAGTAACAATAGCACTCATGTAGTTTAACTCAGTGCAGTCTTTTGCCATATAAGTATACACAGTATTGTGACTTAAGCCACATTTCAATGAGCACAAAGTTTCACTATATTTTAGCTGTAAAATCACTTATTCCTTCTGTGACGCTTAATGTTCTAAGGAATATCTGTCATGGCTTTAGTTTACACACTGTGAGGCTATTAGCTTGACATTTGCATTGGAATAGTCATCATCACATTGATCTGTGTGTGCCAAACAATTCACCATGGTTGAAAAATCACTTCCCAGGAGCCAGGTGCTGAATTCTTCTATTTTATACAAATATTAACATCATTACAGTTCAACAGTACTCACAAAAAGGGAAGCCTGGTTCTTTACATGGTTAACGTATTGTGCATAGTATATTTTTCACAGAATATTTGTAGACGACTTGTTAGTTAGTAGCACCTTTTACATACAAACATCATCCTTTAGACATATTTATCTAAATCAATAAGAAAACCTCAGTTCTAGGAAATACCCCTGCAAGCATACAGTACTGGTTGTTCTTGGTTTTGTAAAGTTTCAATTTACATAGTGACCCAGGATTTTAATCCAGCAACACACAGAAGTGTTGAATAACAGTGACAGGTTTTCATGGGCATGTCATTGACACAACATGAGTGCATAGCAATATTCTGGAGCAGAAGGCAGTTGAAGGCAACACAAAAATTCTATTAATAGCAGTAGAAAGTGGTTAGCATTCCATAATGCAAGCAAAGCATGCTTAAGTCGTTCTTTGCTAAATATATCCCCACCCCCACCCCATTTTTTTGTGGCTAGCCAAATATGTTAGGTTTCACTGAGCACATATTGCGATTGCACCCCCATGCCTTTTAAAGGCAAGGGAAAGCGGACAGCACACCCAGACTTAATCCTGTATGCGCTTTGCATCAAGAGGAACCAAAGAGCACCATAGACTTAGGTTGACGAAAACCTACACAGTATTGAATTTCATCAATGTCTATTGAGTCTTCACTGGTTTCTTCTTTTTTCATGCTGCTGTTTTCTTTTGCTCTTTTGTACCAGCTGCCCAGCGTCCTCCAGCAATAGCCATTCAAAAGGCACTGTTGGGTGCACTGTGCTTAGAACTGCAGAAAGTCTGCAACTCCGTTACCATTTTCCTGGAATGGGTACACCACACTCATACCAGCCCACATAGTAATAAGGTGTCATGTATCCAATGCGTCCAAATGATACAGGCTCTTGTCGATACTGACGATAATAACCTGTATGAGTTAAAAATATCAAAATTAGTTACTCAGAGGCAGCAAAGGAATATTTCTTTTGTCATAGAAGAAACAGAGTTATACATAATGGAGTGATTTTTTAAAAATAATACTGTACAGGTAATGCATTGTCCTGATGCTCTGGCAGATGACATTCCTGCTCAGGACTTGGAAAAAGAAGTCATGAAACTGAACTGTCCACCATTCTCTTTCCACTTTGCCACTGCGGAGAAGGAAGGCGGAGAAGGAGGCAACAGCAAAAGGAAGGCCAAAGTATCACCATTCATAGTTAAACAAAAGTAAAAGTGAAGATCAGAAAGAAACAACTACAGTGAAAAATTAATTTGATAGAGAGAAAGCTGACTCTGTGTAGAAAAAGTCAGAATGCTTAAAACATTAGCAGAATCCCAGCACTCTTTTCCACATGTGTGGTGTACTATCTGAACTGCTGGTCGCTGTGCCAATTCCACAGTTTCCTTGTGTTTCATATTTCAGGTCCTTGGAGCGAGCCACGCGCATCTGGATTGACTGTCCTCTGATTAGATGGCAAAGCTCAGAGTGATCCCATGACTTTAGTGACTGAATATTTCATTTTCAATGCTAAAAATCCAAAGCTTACAAAAACACTGCCACTCACTGTCTAATTTTTTAAAAAATAAAAGAGTCAAGAATGAATTGCATGGAACTATTCTGGGAGCCAGGACATAAGATGTCTACAGTCTGATCCATAATTGGTATGAACATAAGGATGAAATCCTGCTGTGACTTTATACTAGCAAGAATACTAATATGCAAATGGTTATGCCATCTTGGAGCTGGACATGGGCAATATCCTATTCAGAGTCTACAAGCTCTGTAATGTCAGTTCAAATTGTGTGCAAGTAGTTGTACTATCTAAGAAGTTCAACAAGTGTGGACCTTATCTACAAGCAGAGAACTGGATCAACTACTGGGCAATGAGAGAGTGAACCGTCTGTTGAGTGATAATTCTGCAGTGGCTCAGTCTAACAACTTCACTGTAGCTACACTGGTGTAATTTTGCACCATGAAAGCAGAGCTATGCCATGAACAGGATTCTTGGCAAATACCATCCTCATTTTAAATAAGTAATAATGCTTTTCCTTCCTCTTCTTTTTTACCTTGAATAGGAGGCAGGGCTTCCACATATGATTGTGGTCCTGTTCTTCCATCCAGATGCGAATCCACAAACTGACAGTGATCTTCACCTCTTCCCCAGCTATCGCCAATGCTGTAAAATGTATCTGGAGAAATTGTGTTTGTGATTAGAACTGACAATTCTTCCAGTACTGTTCCAGTAGAAAGCACCACTTCATGCAGTACAAAGCTTGTCTGTTTGCACTATTTACTTATTTATCTTTTTTTTTTGTAAATGATAAATTTACTTATTTATCATTCCTTTTTAAAATCCTTTCTCCCAATATAGGGACTCAAAGTGGCTCATAACAAACATAATACAAATTAAAAACAACAATTCATTAAAATATTAATATAAACATTGAAAAAAATCGATGTTTTGTGCTGCAATTAAAACTACATTCACAAACTACACAGCCCGCACCCCAATCTCATTCATATCATGCCCTGCATCCTGTCTCTCGTCATTCCTTAAATGCCTGATGGCAAATGTATCCAATAGCATATGTTCCTTGAATGAAAAGGCTTCTGCGTCTTGAAGAACTATCAAACTGTGACGCAAGCTCTCATGTACATACTCTGCTGAGATCGCAAGAGACATGAAGTAGGGTAGTAAACTTCCTTGCAAATGTATTTATCCATAAATGCTTACAACCTTCTTATAGCAGCACCAGAGGCACTCCAAGTGGCCAGCTTCTGGTCAAAGGACATTTACTATAGTGCCAAGGTTTTTAAACCTTGTTTGTGTTTTTAAATACATTACAACTGTACCCTTGGTTCGCTTCTGACATGCTAAATAAAGTAAGCTTTTGTTTCCAAAATGAAACAATGTAAGAACTTGCTAAAACGGGAGAAATTTCTGCCTACTCCTTTATAGTTCTATTGAATTCTTGTGATAATCTGAAGTGGGTGTTCTGGTGGTGTCACATGCTCCTGAGAACAATAGTTCAGAATGGGGCATTTGAGATTGTGACACTTACTATATGCAATAATCTTCCTTCTAATTCAGCATGCTACAACAATTTCTGCTTTTAAGCATTGTTGAAAACCGTCCTATTTTGCAAGCCTTCCAAGTACAATGCAAACAAGTTTTATAGATAATGTAAGCACCATGTATCATTGTGTATGCCATATGTAATATTGTTTGGTTTTTTAATTGTTGGATATTGCTGTTTCTCCATTGTGCATGTGGCAGGGCTCAGATTGCATTGTAATAGATGGTTGGTGGTTTGCTCTATTCCACGTTTGCATGTGGTGGATGCCACTTTGTAGCCCCATTTCTTAAGGTTGGCTTTGCATCTCTTGATGTCAAAGCTTACTGATGTGCAGAAAGACCTGGACATTCTCTCTAAGAATCTTTGGGCAATCCAGAACAACTCTATGGTCAACTTTTTGTGGAAGATAACCCCAGAGTCTTTCTGAAGGACCCAGAGATTTCTAGACAGACCATAGAAATCAAATCTACAAATAAACAACAAACCCACTAATATAGAGGGTCAACTGTATAAAAAGTCATTAAGATAACACCACCATTAGCAAATTCTACTGAGGTTTGCAACAGTAGTCTTTGGAATTGGGGTATCTACATGCTCAGAGATAGAAATGCAAGACACAGTTTATATTTCTGCACAAAAAAGAAAAGTGAGAAGAATTTCACAAGTCCAATTCAAAAGTCTTTATCTTTGCTTTGGGACAAAAAGGTTTCAGAATGTCTGCTGCTTAAATAGTTTGCACTAAGTAACAGACCACAGTGAAGATTCATGTCTGCTGAAAGGGCTAGTAAAGGCTCAGACAGAAGCAATACTAATCTAGAAACGATGGGTAAAGATCTCAAATGTAAGTGTGTTTATTATTTCTATGTATTTCTGAAATAATAGGAGCATTATGGTAAAAGAATCTACTGGCACAGTATGAAAGGAAGCCAGTGGTCCTCGCCAACATTCCTGAACTCAGTTAAACAGATTTGTATGTCTGCTATTGGCTGGGAACCACAGTGAAAGATCTATTTTCTTCTCAACTCTGTACTAGCAGTTGCCCCAAAAGTAACACAGACCTTATGCAAATTCCCATAACAACACCTTTCTATAGACCAAAATTAGGCAACTGTGGTCTTCTAGATGCTCTTAGACTGCACCTTCCAAGATTCTTCACTGTTGATCACACTGCTAAAGCTAACAGGAATTGCAACCCCAATAATATCTGAAGTGGTTTCTATGTTATTGGAGGATGTTGCAGCTACCATAAACACAATATATATATAAACAAAACAAAAAACAAAACACACACACACAAATAAATGAATCCAAGAGCAAATACTGCCTAATTTCTCACTAAAACCCACAAAAGACATATCATGAGATGATATGATTCCTTACGGAAAATAATAATGCCCAACTGCCCTGGGACAGGTGGAGGTATGTGCTAGTTCTCGCAGCAGCAGGTATGGAGCAACCTGCAGTTGGTACTGGCTGCTGGTAAGTACCTCCACCCTAAAGTATTGAGATTTTTTTTCACGGGCCCTGAAAAATGAATATATTTTATTTGTCCCTCCTCCTTCTCAAGTAATAATTTTCTGTGTCAAAATCACGGCACTGTAAAATGATACTGCTACATACCCCTTAGGTCATCACTGAGATAAATCTTGTATCGCAGCGAATTACAAAGAACAACACCAACAAACTTCCTGTACCATGTCCGTTTCACATATTGCTTGCCACTGCATTCAGAGTATGTGGGATCATATTTGAAAGAGAATGGGATCCAAATTGGTTCACCACCTGAAAAACAAAAATTAAAAAATGTACTGATTTATCCAATTAAGTTCCTTCATGTAAAGCATCTTTATCTTAACTGACATTTATAAAAAATAAACTTACACTTTTCTCAGTCAATACCTGCTGAACCCATTCCTAAATGCATTTTCTTGAAAGTCTATTTCATTTAATAGACCTCACTTCCCACAAAATACTGTAATGCTCAAATCCTAAGCCTGCGGTTCCCAACCTTTGGGGATGTTTTGGGCTTTAGCTTCCAAATTCTCAGTCATTGGTCATACTGACGAAGACTTCTAGGCACTGAACACCAAAATATCTACAGAGCCAGAGCTTGAGAACTGCTAGGTTTCAGTCATAACTTGATTAAACTAATTTTCTCTACAATTACCAACATCTTGGAACAAAATAAACTCTAAATGATGAATAAATTGAGATACATTTTTTTTTCAAAGCAGGTGGTAGATAACAGAATGGCATGCTATCACCACTGAAGGCATTTCATGAAATTAATCTCTATTCTCAATGTAAATTGAATCCAGAAGAAGTGTAAAATCAAGGCTGTTAAGACATCTGAAAAACAAAAATTGAAATACACTTCACTATTTCACACTCACACACCTATCTCAATCCATCCTAAAAAGATTAGAGATTTTAGTGCGAATTACAATATGCTTATGTGCCATTTTAAAATGGTCTAAGAAACAAGATCTTTTAAAAGTTAGGCTCTGAATTGAAATTTAGGTGTTTTTTTCTGTTTAAACCGGTGCTCATTATTAAATTAGAAAATGTAATAGTAAAAAGAAAAGAAGAGAAGAAGAATGAATATTTAATTGCATGGGCTACCTTTTAATAATTTAGATCAGAGGCTGTTTCAATTAAAAGCCATAAACCAGTGTTTCTCAACCTTCCTAATGCCACGACCCCTTAATACAGTTCCTCATGTTGTGGTCACTCCCAACCATAACATTATTTTCATTGCTACTTCATAACTATATTTTTGCTACGGTTATGAATTGTAATGTAAATATCTGATATGCAGGATGTATTTTCATTCACTGGACCAAATTTGGCACAAATACCCAATACACCCAAATTTGAAGAGTGGTGGGGTTGTGAGGGGATTGATTTTGTCATTTGGGAGTTGCAGTTTCTGGGATTTATAGTTAACCTACAATCAAAGAGCATTCTTAACTCCACCAATGATGGAATTGAACCAAACTTGGTATGTACAACTCCCATGACCAACAGAAAATATTGGAACGGTTTGGTGGGCATTGACCTTGAGTTTTGGAGTTGTAGTTCACCTACATCCAGAGAGCACTGTGGACTCAAACAATGATAGATCTGGACCAAACTTGGCACAAATACTCAATATGCCCAAATGTGAACACTGGTGGAGTTTGGGGAGTTATTTGGGAGTTATAGTTGCTGGGATTTATAGTTCACCTACAATCAAAGAGCATTCTGAACCCCACCTACGAAAGAATTGGGCCAATCTTCTCTACACAGAACCCCCATGACTAACAGAAAATACTGTGTTTTCTGATGGTCTTTGGCGACCCCGCTGACATGCCCTTGTGACCCTGCCCAGGGGTCCCGACCCACAGGTTGAGACGCTGCCATAATAATTCTGCCAACAGCTGAATGGAATACCTGGGTTTAAAAAGGGTATCAGGCTAACTCACATGACATTTACATTATTATATATAGTACAGTTCTGAAGTGATCCTGTGTCAACGCTCTTAATATTGCTCCAAAACGTCTGAAAGCAAGTCCCAAACCACAATTTGGGCGCCACAGAGCAGAAGAAGTCTTCAGTGGGCATTCAAGTTTTCCTCACAAATCTGGTAATTCAACTCTTGCTCCTCTAGGAAGGTTATGGGAACCAGTGACAGCATTCATTTGAAACTAAATGTCTTGATTCCAAATCCTGTGTGGTCTGATGTGTAAGCGTGGTGCCAATGGACTGCCCTGGTCATTTCAATGGAGACAAGAATTTTGCAAACACAAAAAGTGCTTCCATGGATCTGCCTCCTTGACTTAACTGAATGGGGCATCCCTGTGGCTGCACCATGAAAGCAAATCATTTTGGTCAGGCAGTAGGCTCTAAATGTTTTTATCTTTAAGCATTTCAGCTTACAAGGCTTCACACTAGGCCGCTTGAATACACAAACTAGCAGCCTTGTCTGTGAGTTGTTAAACAGATCAAACAGCCACATCTACCTCTCGTCCAAAATAGAATTGTAATTTACCCATACTTAAGATGAAGGATGGTTACACGTGAAAGTTGTGGTTTTGTTTCTTTCTCAAGACCTCTCCCTGTGTGCTCTGTCCCTTTTATATCACTGGCAACTGTTCCACAGCATGGGAACCACATTTTAAATGGGAGAACAGACAAAGCAACATTTTGTCTTTTCTTTAAAAGACTCTTCTGACCCTGAAAGTGCTAAGCGATAATCCCGTAAACATACATAAATGCATGAACAACACGCAGGAATAACCTCCATTGAGCTCTGCTGAAATGGGTTTCAGAACCTCTGACTTGTGCTTAATGAGGCTTCTTTTGTATGTAACACTTCTCCCATGTACCATTATTTCCAGAATTTTGGCCAGTGGAAATAAAACAATGAAGTGTTCATGGAAAGAAAAGTATTCAGTGGATCTGTATTGAAGCACTCGACATTCCCATGCTATCCATCAGCATGGTGGTTCCCCATGAACAAGTCTCTGTGAAATTGACCGCATTTCAGTGCAATTGCTGCTGTGAAGCATGCCAGATGGGTTTCATTTTACACTCAGGTCTGCATTGAAGAGTCACTTGGCACAGTCAGTGCTTTTAAAATACTAAACATAAAAACTTGGGGTACATTATAAAATAATATGTCTTGTATTATGTCAAAAGATATACTAAGGCCTGGTCTGTACTTCCACATAATGAAGTTTCAACATGCAGTTTGATGGGACCTAACTGTGTATCAAGCTAACAGGAATTATATGAGGAAAATATAAGAAGTATATTATAGAAGGAAAGAAAAAATAAGGGATAAAAGTTTCACATCAACTATATTAACAAACCCACAAATGCTGACAATATGTTTACCAAAGTGTTTAAAACGGAGAAAACAGGGACAAGAAGCTGCCACCTTCCTCCAGATTTTCTCCAGAAACCATTCTTGGTTTCAGTGCTGGGCATAGAGGAGGAGTGGACCACTTTGTCTCTTATTTATGAGTTTTCTCACCCTCTTTGAATATTAACATTTGAAAAACTCATGGAAAACTGTTAATAGTATCCAGTGTTGCTACATCTGTCCATGCTCTTCAGTTTGTTTGACCAAAGCTCCATATTAAAGATGAAATCTGAGCTTCATACCATAAAGATAGGTGATTCCATGTGCATTGCTACAATGAAACAAAAAGCAACACTTTGGGGAACACTTATCATGAATAATTTGCTACCTGATCATCATTTTTCTGGTGATGAGCTTTTCCATATTTAGCTAGGTGGATCTTCACATACTAAAAGCCTTGCCAACTTGAGGATCCAAAGTCACCTCCATCAAATGAAAAATCATGGAGTGAATATTCATTGGCAGCCACCTCTCCAAAAAAGTCAACATTGACACTGAAATACAACACCGCCTGAGCTCTGTGAGTGCAGCATTTTTCTGCACTCACAGAAAATGAGGACCAGGACATCCGTAGGGATATCAAGGTGCTTGTTTATAAAGCAATTGTCCTCCCAACCCTTCTGTACCCCTGTGAGATATGGACTATCTACAGAGGTCAGCTGTGACCAGCAGTGCTGTAGAGTTTGAAGAGGCATGAATGGAGGGCAAAAGAGAGAAACATGCCAAGAAGAAGGCACCTCAAGCCAACCCCGACTGGGACTGCCTTCCACCTGGAAACCAATGCCCTCACTGCAGGAGAACATGCAGATCAAGAATAAGGCTCCACAGTCACCTACAGACCCACCACCAGTACACTGATCTTGGTAGACAATCCTACTCGGACAACGAGGGATCTCCTGAGTAAGTCTTCAGATGATAGACACACATACTAAAAGCCTTGCCAACTTGAGGATCCAAAGTCACTTTCATCCAATGATAAAACGTGGAGTGAATTTTTATTGGGTTCTTAAAACTATAAAGTCCATAATTTTGAGAATGTCATAAAAACAGTTATACACCAAACTGTCAAACCTAGACAGTGGTGGAGAACCTTTAACCTTTTAGATCATTAGGCATATGGTTCCCATAATCACTCACCATTATTCATGTTGGCTGCTGTTTTTGTGAGCTGAAAACATTTAGCAGCCAAATGTTCCCTATTTCTACAGTTCAGTATCCTATCTCCAGCACTGGAGAGTTTAAGAAGCTATATAGGACACCCTTAACAGTATAAAGCAAAAGAGCAGTTTTTCATATCCTGCTTCCTGTCAATTGTTTTCAGTTTTTCCATCAATTACATAAGGACTCAACTGTAACCTTTGCAATGTTTGGGACAAAACAATATCCGCAAACAGCAGTGAGACTTACCCGGTGGTCTGACAATAAGTAGAGGATTATCTGTAAGGAAGAAATAAGAAAACACTTGAGTGGTTTATTCTGAAAATGTCTATCCCCTAAAGCCAAAGTGAATTACATTTTATACAGCAAAAAAGGTTGAGAAAGTATGTTCTCATTCGTATCTGTTTTCAAAGTAAAATCTACCAACAGATTCAATTCAAACCAACCCTGTTCTTTTAACTGGGTTCTTCCCCAAAATGTTATTTTGGGGGAAAAGTCTTCACAGGTTTTTTTTTAATATCCAGGAAAGTGAAATTTACATATGTATCTGCCATTGTTATAAATTTGTTCATTAGCGTAATATCCTTTTGGTCAATTATTATAGAATAATTAAAAATGAAAAGAAAAAGAACACAGTGGTGGATTTATCAAAATAATCAAATTGCTTAGTGCTGTATATTACCTTGCATATAAATCAAGATCCAAAATAACAATTCAGAAAATTCTATTCTCATGAATATGATGCATGAACTCAAGTGGTGATGGTATGAGTGGTAAACAAATTATGTTGCTTTTTAACTAGGAAATGACATCCATAGAACTAATTGAGAAGATATTGTCCACATCTACAACATAGTTTAGAGCAAACATATTCATTATTCATTAAAGTCTATATGAGGTTGTCACTCCATTAAAGACATCTCAGCCTATTAGCTGCATAAACACTAGCTCACTAATCAGTTCATTACAATTTACATACTTTTGTAGATTCAAAATAGTTTTCAAGCAAGATTCAACTCTGAATTCTCACTAGAAGCCAAAATGACTAAACTGAGGCTATTGTACTCTGAACTGATCAAAAGACGACACGGTCAACTGAAAAATCAATAATACTCAGTAAGGAGGACATTAGAAAAAGAGAAAGACTGCATTATAGATTGGCTTTAAAAAATTAGACATAGATTTCTAATGTTGAAAACCTGCCTTGTAGTTTCAAGCTAAGTTTGGATAACAGATCTAAACAATAGTAGAAAAACTACCAAAATTGCTAAGTTATTCTCCAGTGAAATATAGATAAGCTCTGGTATGGGCTACGCTAATATAGATTGAAGTTATTTGAAGTTGGAAAAGACACTTTGGATTTTAATATTGCTAGTTCCAAAGCTTTGGGAAAAGAGGTGATGAAATGGCTTCTGAAACATTTGCAGTGGAAAATTTACTACTACTGTAATTTTATTCCTTTTCAATGAGTCAAACTGAATTCCTATTATTAGAATCTAATTTCAGTTTGTGGTTTTAAGCCATACCTGATTCGGTAACATAGGAAATAGATGAGCTTATAGGTCCAAAACCAAATGGATTCTTTGCTTGAACTCTGAAGTAATACCTGAAGATGGAGGAGAGGGAGAGGAAGAAAAAAAACCCCATGAAGTCCATTAAAAAGGAATAAATCTATGCATAATAATGACATTAACAATACAATACAAAACTTTATTACAGTCACTGACCAGCATAATAATGGTGTTAAGAAAATATCAGACAAACATTATGGTTTAAATACGATTTCACATAGCTATCCTACCTTTTCTTGAATGGTCTAAAGGCATCAGACACAGCTCTCCTCACTACTTCAGTCACAACAATTCATGATATAGATAATGCTGAGAATGTGAGGCTAGCCAAAGGCCAACCAATGAGTGTAACGACTCAGTGTAGGCCTGGACCTGGACTATTTTCATCTCTATCAACAACAATATTGAGTCCAGTAATGCTTGAAATATACCATGAATCAACCCTTTCTGATTCCTTTCACAAGGATTTCAGTTCTGAAGCAATACAGCACAGTTTAGTCAAGTTATCACTCCGTGGCTGCTACATGTTGATGAAGGACTCATCCATTAGCCTTCATTATAAAACACAACACATGAAATGCTTAAGACTAAACAAGAGAGTGCTACAATATATGATTGCTGCAGCAAGACTGTTGGAGGAGAAGAAATAAAAGAACACAGAAACATCATCTCAAGAAGACTGGATCATGGGAATGTTGGAATTGGCTGAAACTGAGAAATTATCTACTTTGATAAGATAAAAACTGTTGAGCATTTTAAAGAAAGATTGGGCTTTTTTCCAGAAAAAAAGAAGCAAGAAGGCACTAATTGTGGGCTCTGAGAATTAACAATTTAGATTAAAGTATTCATTATGGAAATCATTTAATGACCAGAACATCATTAAAGTCCAATTTCATGGGTGCACTACTACGTGCTGGCAAAACAGACCTTTTCCCTCAGGTTTACAGCCTGAAACTGTAATAAGTGTCCTGTCCCTTTGTGATATAAGTACAGTGGCGTTATAGAGTCTCACACTGGATCTACACTGTCAAAGTTGCAGGTTTATAATGAAATTTATGTCTACATTGAATAAAGCTTTTTTTACACTGATTTATTTAGTAGACTGATACACATCTTCATATTTTAGAAATACCACCTAAATCATAGCACATGGCCTTGGAACTTTCAAAAAAAAAGATTAAAGATACAAAGATCTGAATGCATTTCTGTCTGAACCCAAAGCTATGAAAATAAAATAAATTTCCTAGAGTTAAACAGAATTACACTGTGTCTAGGATTTATTGATGAATGCCCATAGACACACTTAAAAGACACTTAGCCAGGTTCATTTTATGCCCTAGTGCAGTCACAGAAATCAGCAAAAAAGGAGATAAATCTATTTATTATTTATTTATTTACAGTTCTTATATTCCGCCCTTCTCACCCCGCAGGGGACTCAGGGCGGATTACAGTAAACACATATATGGCAAACATTCAATGCCAGTTTGACAAACAACATTTAACAGACAAATACACCGAGGCTATTTAACTTTTTTTCTGGCCGCCAGGGGAGCTGCTGCTTTTCATCGTCCATCAACGACACCGATGAAGTTCTTCCGCATTCCACATTCCCCGGAGTCTTTTTCTTTATGGCCTCATAAATTAGTTAAATTTAGCCTCCCACACAAGGTGGTACCTTATTTTCCTACTTGACAGATGCAACTGTCTTTCGGGTTGCAAAGGTCGACAACGGGCTACACAATGGCTGGACACCCACTCCAGCCCGGGCTGGCTTCGAACTCATGACCTTTTGGTCAGAGTGATCTTAATGCAGCTGACACTCAGCCAGCTGCGCCACAATCCCGGTGCTGGTCCAATAAGTTAATGTGACCCAAAATTGGTGATCTTTGGTATGGTGCTGATCCACAAAGGATTTTCAGGGGGAAATGCAATTGAAGCAATTGGGAACATATATAGAACTGGCACATTGAGAATGTGGGGTGGGGGGTGGGGGTGGCTAGTCCCCAACATAAACGCTAAGGAGCATTCCTTTAGTGGAAGAGGATTTCAGTAGGCACATTCCTTTGAAGAAATCAAACACATATTTTTCCATGATTTTCCTATGGCACAAAGGATACCACTGGATTGGTTGTTAATCTATCACTACAACCTTTATCCATCCAGGAAAACAGGTTTTAAAATAGAATTTTGTACTTAGATAAACTGCCTTTCATACCAAAGTGGTTTTAGGTTTGTTTTTTAACCCATCACACACCATTGGAGAATGATTGGGCAATTTCTCTAATGCTATTTGATGGATCATTCTCCAGTGCTGTTTTCATGAATAATTTCTTTCCTTGGCTTTGGCTCTACTTTATACTACCTATATTAAAACCACATATCAAAATGTGTGAACAAGAGGTAATGTGAAATACACGGTATGGACAGTAATAAAACAATGAATCTATGTGAAAATATGTGTGTACTTTCCTCAAAGATTCATACATGGCTTGATCAATATGAACTAAGTTTGGTAAACAAGCCCTTCACCATTCAAATTAAAATCCTGGTGGTATTTAAACTAAAACATCCATCCCTTTCAGAACCAGGGTCCCAATTACAAAAATTAGATTAGATGTCTCTCCTGAATTTAAGATAGCATTACCCAGACTTCTTTTCTTTGAACACTACCAGGCTATATTTTTAGGCTCCTTCACACAAGAAATATGAGTTATTGTAATGCAGCTTTTTTGGTCTTAGCAGGTTATTGTTGCTTCCATGCACATGTATTCCATTTATTTAGTGAGATCGTTGATAAAGATGTCCTTGGATATGCACAAGATGCTCTTCAGAGTTTACCCTCTTTAAACCAGGGATCATGAGTTAGTCCCCATCACTAGCATCAGCAGTCCCCATTTCCTACCAGCTAATGTTGTGTTAAAACAACACAATCCATTACATAAGTAGAAACAGAAGACTCAGCCACCTGGGACTAGTAAACAGAAGAGAAAAACAAATGGAATACAGCAACATTTAGAATACAATGCCTCCATGGTCATATAAACAAAAATCATGGTTGTCATTATTTGTAAACTGTTCGTTTTATTATAATAATGACCTCACTAGTTAAAATGCATTTTTTTCCAAAGTGTATTTTCTGAAAGCTATGTTGTAATTCTTGTGTTCACTTAAATTGCCTTTTCTCCTAATAAATGTGTCAATAACCACTACATAGTCTCTTCTCCCCCCCCCCCAACCTACAGGGGGAGCTTGGATAATACATCCTGCTAATGTTTAGCAAGGATATCCACTTCATAAGTGCATGTCCCTCACAGGGAGGGTGGACAGGGCTCTAGCCTGGAGGCCTGGGATTAGCGGATGCCAGTATGGCAGATCAACCAGCTCATTGGTTCCAGTTCCTCCCCTTCCTTTGGTGGAGCATCCCTGGCCCCACTCCTTTGTGCAGAGACACAAGGCTCCCACTGCCCCCCTCTCACGCATATATGCAGGCACCTGACCGTAGCTATCACTTCCTATCTTTCACTTCTCCTCAAAAGCAGGCATCTCATAGCACTACCTCCCTGAAATAAGGAGAAAATATATCCCCTCTCCCTTTAACAAGATGGTCTCAGGGTTCCTCTCTGGATTCTCATAAATAAATAGGTTAATCTTAGAGTGGCCTCAAGACTCACCCTTTTTTCATCTTACCTTTTTGATACTGGAAAAGGCTTCTGAATGTAATTTACAACCAAAAAAACCTGCAAGGTATATTTGCCAATATCTGCCTCTCCATTAGACTGTTTTGTACAGAAGCAGTTACTGTTTCTTCAGCTGAAAAATCATTCAGCAGACATGGCAAAGCACAACTAGTTAAGAGTGACTTACTCCTCTAGCAATTTTGTGCATCAAAAATGGTTTAGCTAAGGAAGTTGATTTTACTGAAGTTTCTTAAAAAAATTGCATCAACAAAAGCTAAAAATACTTTGAGATAATTTTGATATTACTGTAAGTTGTTATTATGTGCATCCATATAGTTTTTAAAATCAGCATAAGTTGTTTAAACTGACTTTTCCCCTAAATCCTATAGAGCATCACACTGCCCTTAACTTTAGTGGTAGATAGAGGAGCCCACCAATGATTCTGACCCACTTCAAGATGTGAGGGCCATGCATAAGTGAGACAATGGAGGGAGGAGTTGGAGTAGATTGAAGGAAGTGATTTAAGAGAATCATTTCTACCCATAATACAGAAGTTGATTTAAAAATATATTACTATGTGTTCTCAAGCAATTGAACATGTTCAACAGATCATTTTGGAGAACTGGGCCATATAAGTTGTGCTAGTTTCTGCACTTGCAAACGTGCACACACTCCCTGCCTCTGGCAAGAAAAATATTGGCATTCTCTAGCTATGACTTGGCTCTTTCTTTTGCTTCTCATCCAAAAGTGAGCCTCGCCAAAAGAACAGCATCCTTTAAAACCACATGACCTTCCTAAGTAACTGGCTCAGTCAGGAAAAATGCCACCAAAACTTGGATTATTGTCCTTGGCAATAATCCATTCAACTTCTAACTAACCTAAATGCTACGTTGCATAGGAAATTCTAAAGTGATTATTGCTCAAAGTACCAGGACTTCAGGCAATAACTAAGACTAGAAACAGACAATTGTTTTTTTGGAATACTGTGTATTCTGAAAATCAAAGTGGTAAAATGAGCAAAAAAGCCTGATTAAAGAAAAAAATAGTGGAACAAAAAACATAGGGGGCATTCATGTATGTCAGTGGGTACTGTTGGTTCTATCATGAAACCATCTTTAAGTAACCAAAAAGCGATTGCCTGTCTCCTGCATTATGAACTTCCCCAAAGAAAGGGACTAACCTGGCATAACAAAATATCCCACTGTATTGTTACTATCCCAAGGGGAATATGACACAAAACCCATAGGGATATATTTGAATTAGAAGTGGCTGTTACTGGTTAAAAGATAACTTCTTGGAGAACAGCCTTGGTGGCCTCAGATTACTTCTTAAATTAGGTGTGTATCTCAAATTCCTTT